TCCTCTTTTTTGTACATATTTTCTTCCTGGCTTTTTTTTTTTTTTTTTTGGAAAGTACTGTCTGTCCAGTCCTTCATGACATCCATTAAAATTGGAACGATACGGAGAAGTACTGTCTGTCCAGACCTTCACGACATCCATTAAAATTGGAACGATACCGAGAAAGAAGATTAGCATGGCCCCTGCGCTTTCAAGGATGATGCGCATAAATCGAGAAATGGTCCAAATTTTAAAAAAGAACTTTCTGTGTTAGCAAGCACCTCTAGGTAGTGCAAAATAGCCAGTAGTTCCTTGTTTGGAATGCCAAATGCAGTATTTTGGGGCCTGCTCTGGCACAGCGACAAAAATGTGCGCTCTGAGCGCTTTGTGCTTACGGTTGCGTAAAATAGTGGACAAACACCCAGAGTACCATAAAAACGTGGACAAACACCACATGATACAGCGTCTGTTCTGTGCGTGTTGGTGAAAATTAGTGGATGCGTTCTTGACGAAAACGCCACGCCTGCCACCATTCGTTAGACCTATCGAAATGCAATAAAGCCTTCCAGTTGACCTCGCTACCCGTACGCTTTGTGTCCTTCAAGTTCGGCCTTCGGCCTTCGACCTTCGCCCTTCATCTGCTCTGGGGAAATTAAGGCCTAGAGGACATAGCTCTTACATTGTCTTTGCCTTTCATTAGCGAAGGTGGCCACTGCCATTTCTAAACTACTTCGCTAATGGCAGTGAAGGTGGCCACTGCCATACTGGTTCAGAGGGCACGTCAGTATGGTTTACCGATCGGGTCAAGAATTTTAGGTTGTGTGACACATGAACTGACAAAAGAACGATATTTGAAAATAGTCTTCATGGCACCTTATTATGCAGTTTAAGTAAAAAAGGAAGACTTTCGAACATGCTCTGCTTGGTATGTCTGTGGGGTCGATGACAGACGTCCATCGGAGTGGCTTCCTGGTGCAGCAGGTGGTGGGAACCAACAGTCTCCGAGGACGAGGGCCCTGGTCGCAGTGTGAGTAGGTGATGGATTGCTTTGATCCATGTTGGATGCATGGACTGACTTGTCAGTGCTCCTCTGCTGACTTCCTGTGGACTGACTTGTCAGCGCTCATCTGCTGACTTTCTGGCCCCCCACTGCCATCTCTTTCCCTGTAGCTTGTCTGGTTGCGTCGAGAGTGTTGCTTTGCGCTTCACTGCGTTGCTGCCTTGATGTCCATCCGTGTGCCTTACACATTCACACACTTTGCTTCTGTGCTGTGTGTAGTTTTGGCCCCTTTATCGGCCCTGCCTTGTGCTTTGCTGTGTTGTTGTCGCCTTGCTGCTCGCTCGCCCACTTGCGTTATTGTGCCATTCAGTTACCTTCAGCACTTTGCAGATGGGTTGCCCCATCTTCCTTGCTGCTCGCTCGCTCGCCCGCTTGCGGTATTCGTCCATAGTGTCGGCTGGTGCTTCGTTGAGTCCCTGCCATGCTGCCACGTCCTGCTTGTGGTGTTGTTTGTGGACCGTCCACTTTCAACAAGGGTCAAGAGCATCACACATGGACAGTCCGGAGATTGTCGAGGGTTCAGCCGGGAGATTGTCGAGGGTTCAGCCGGGAGATTCAGCCGGGAGATGAGTCTGTGCAACTTGGACGAGGCAATCTCTTCATCATCAGTTTCATTTTTTTTGGTCTTTCCTGCTTTTCGGACTTGTATATTTTGGGCTTCCCTGTTTTGTGTGCTTGTGTGTCGTCGACCCTCCTGCTTCCTCCATGCCCTCCAGCCTTGGTTCGTTGTTTCTGCCTGTCACCCTATGCCTTGTTGCCTTATGCCTTTGTGTGCCCACCCACTTTCCCC